ACCAACGTCTGTTTCAGAACACTTTCAAGCTGGCTACCAGCGTCGCGTCCAATACGAGCGGCATCTACGTCGCGAGCAGCCCAAGCCAAGACGGCGCAGAAAACGCAGCGTCAGCATCGAGAGAAATGTCGAAACGCTCGTGGTCGCCGATAGGACGATGCTCGAGTATTACAAGAACGAGGATATGGAAACCTACCTACTGACGGTCCTCAACATGGTGAGTTATGGACGAGTCCCTCGATAGACTTGGAAAGCACGGCTCTGGCTACGACAGGACCAGACCGATAGAATTAGGGTAAGAGGACATGTCCTCTGAATATCTGTTCGGGAATCTTTTGGAACCTCCGAGATTGTTGAGGGAAATAAGATTGATTCTCATCCAAACTTCCTCATTGGTTGACCTTGTCGGACCCCCAACCCACAGGAATCACTGGTGACTAAAATCTCGTTCGCGAACCCGGAAGAACGCCGAGTGCTTCATCGAGAGCATGTTTTTCGATTCCTACGAATAAATAAAAAGCAATGAGAGCGATTCACGAGCTCTGCCCCACGAGAGCGAATGGAGGTGAGATAGTCCACCGAGACCTTGATGATATACCTGCCGCAGAGATCCCCTCGCAACAAACCTTGTACTCACTGCGGTAACATTGCTTTGTCAGAGCGTTTGTCGACGGCGGGAGATCGAATTCTAGTCAGAGGTCAGAGGGTGCGATGAATGCCTGCCAGCCTGCCTGCGTGCATAGACCATCGCGGGAAAAATTTCACCGTTGCGACGAGTTGCATCCTCCGCGAGGTGCTTCGTGACTTCTGTGTTTGACCCAGCAGTTGCAGTTCGATGAATTTCCCGCGAAGGTCCGGTCTTCTGTTTGCTGGCGCTCTCCGGCTGTCGACGTTCATCCGACGACCCTTGGACAGACAAACGATGGGACAAACCTGTGGTATAAGCGAGGTCCGAGAGCATCCTCCCACTTAAAGTGGTGGGTGGGATCCATGTTGTTGGTTCCTTGTTGCTCAATCGAGCCACGCCCCCTGCCACAATGTCCTCGTACCCTCCAGCGAGCTAGCGGACTGAGCTGGAGGCAGCCTTGCAGAGGGGGAAGCGAGCTAAACTGTCAGAGCAAATGTATTCTGAGCTATAGTGCTCTCGGTTTCCTCGGAAGAGACAATGTGAGCCAGCTGAGCGGCGAATTATGGTTGCAAAAATGCTACCATTCGTAATGACAGCGGGCCTTCGGTGTCTCAGGTCCTGTCGTCTCTTATGACATGACCCATCGAGTTGAAGGTTCAGCTATGCACACGGTGAGAAGAATAGCACACCACTGCGTCTTCCTTCCTCTCCAATTCATTCGTTTCCGAGCGGAAGTCATGATGCGAGCTTTCAGACGTAGCGCTCGCCCATTGGCATTGAAGCACGAGACGACATCGCGGATGATCTCCATGCTAATCATCCTCCGACTTCCAGCCCCAGAAGAGCTCAGATGATCCGCATTGTCTGGCATCCGGTCCTCGGGGAACTCTACCAAGTGCCGAGGCCGACCGCCCCGGAAGCTGAGATTCGAATGCAGACCATTCCTTTGAGATCGAGTTTCTCCTCCCTGTTGACTAGCTGTAGATTTCTGAGCATCATCATTCGTAATCGTCCGATACGATTTCGTATTGGAAGTGCGACCCTCAGAAGAAGTTCCCGGCCTATGTTATGATGATAACCGGCTCCCTTCTGGAGCTTTCGGAGAGGAGGGCCGCAGATGTGCCGTGCAGTATCGGACGGAGCTCCCGATGACAGGTGATATTATCGAACGAGCATCGAAGCTTGATAATTCTGTGCATGATCCTGTACACGAAGAGCAAGCAATTATCGACTGAATTCCGAGAGGTCGTGTTAACGTGCTCCTCATTAGCGCAAATAAACGGATTCCTCCATCCTTCTCGGGCTACCATCACAAGCCAGGTCACGAGGATCGCCGGCATTTTTTATCGACGGGGTCGTTTGCTGGCATCCGAGGTGCCCTATAATGGACTGATGGGGATGAACCGCGGATTGATGCTCTTTGGTGATGTACATACATATACCTCGTATCGCTGCAATATCCAGAACACCCACTGTTAGAGACTGACGAGATCGAGGAGAGCAAGATGGTGTAATGCAATCAAAATATGGTTTTTCAAGGGGAAGGTGCACATGATTTGAGCCGTATGGAGATCTCGTGTCATTGTGAATACTGAGCCAGCAAGAGATGAGAAAAAAACGCTCGAATCGGAGCGCGTCCGTCTTCGATCTGGAATAAGACCGATGAGGCAGACGTAAATAGGCGAGGACTACCCTCGAGTCAAAGCAAGAATCCCGGAGGCGGCGATCCATTCTCCAGGGATCCGACTCGCTTGAACGAAGTAGCGCCCGCAGTCGGCGGAAGAAGAGTCCGCGAGCCTCGGAGTGAGCTCACTGAGAAAAGAAATGTGTTCAGCTCAGCTGCACGTCAACGGCGACGTCTGGCGTACACACGAGGTTTTTGTCCGCTCAGGAACTTGTCGTCCGGCCTCGCGGGTCGTTTCTCGTATGCGCCGCAACCCCTGCGTACAATGTTCAGTAATAACCATTACGCGGGTCGTAATTCGGGGCAAAATTTAAAACGGGCTAAATTCTACGCTTCCCGTCGAACGACGCTTCCGGTCAGTTTCGACTCACTTCCGGACCAACGTGCAAGACGTTCCCTCGCACACTCGTCAGCCCCAGCGCTCCGTACCAGGATCACCGGCGGGATAGAGCGAGGAGGTCTCAAGCGGACGAGGTTTCTCGCCGGCCGGCAAGCTGTGCGGACGGCCGCGCCGCTCACCTTGCCACGTTGTAGGCTCAGGCTGTGAGTTATTGACGTATGTCACTGAGAAACATCGCTGCCTTCGCCTGGGGCGGCCTCGTATGTCGGAAGGCTTGCTGTTCACGACGATCGATATTGCATACATTGCCGGCTGGCCACCTAGCTGGTCAGTCGGCAATCCAGCTCCCATATGGATAGCTTGTAGAACGCCGGACCCCGCTTTAGCCCTGTTGCTCGACGACTCGATATACGGCGACGACGACGACAGAGGCAGCAGCGGCGGCGGCCGGTCCTTCCCTGTTGAGATTGGCGCTCTCGCTTCTTTCTTTAGTTCAATCGACAAATACCATCACGTGGGAAGTAGTAGAGCTCGCCAAAGATGTGACGACACCATATCACGAATTACGAGGATAGCCGCAAAATACGTTTAGGTTTCCGCTATCCGCGGCTCTGACCATTCGTCTCCCGATGGTGATCGACTTCGAGAAATGGTCGTTCCCCGGCGACGACTGAATTAGTCGAGTGCTGGCTGACCGAGGACAAAGGGAGATGACTGAGGGACAAGAAGGGTGTGTTTGTGTGTAACTAACTGGCTGTTGTCAGGGCCACGGGAGAACAAGGTCGGAAATTAGATGCGCTAGCTGAGGGTCGTGTCCTGAGGGAATCCTTTAATCAGGGCCACAAGGCGGTCGCAACCACCGCCGCAGTTCTTACTGTTCCTTGTTCGCTCTCGTTGGTGATTCTGTTCATCTCTGAACAGCTCCAAGTCGCTGATGCCCCGGTCAGGCACACTAAAATAATCGTCGGTCGGTCGCTCGGACTGAGTTTGATATCAGTCCCAAAGTTCATATTAATGTGTAGGGCGCATCGATTTTTGAAAGGAGCTCGACAGACTGGGTTTCGTTCCGGCTTCGATCGATGCGCGACCGGAAACGCTACGGTGACCAAAACGGAGTGCTTGCGAGTTATGTTGACAGCCTCATCCGATGATTGCTGAGACGTTTTGAAAGACTGTTAGGAAAAGCGAGAAGCGCTCGCTCACGGGATGGCCGTTCGCTCGCGTCCGGAGTCCTCGGGAACCACGTGAGAACCATTATTGAATCAGGGGAAATGGGATACTCCATGATAGGGTTTGGTCATCCGCTCCCTAGGTGATAGGGTAAATTCTCACAAGTCTCAAAAGAACAACCAGATTCCGGTTCGCGTTTCTGTCCGAGTCTGAAGACTACGAGAGGCCTTCAGGGATCATTCCAGAGCGGTATTTACGAGTTTCTAATCCTGGGGAGACGCGGAGCGCCTCTCCCTAATCACGGGAATGCCAACCGTGGTCGATACGACTCGGTAAATCCCGATTGACAAGGTTCGACCGACGCGGCGTTTGCAGGCGGAATGCGCAGGTCATCCCACGCAGATATCCTGTGAATAGAGGAGCACAGGAACGATGTGACGTTCCGTTAAGCATGTACGCGTGGGGCTCTTCGAGCAGGGGGGTCGTTTGAAGGGTTCGGCTCGTCGCACGAATAGCCGACGATTTTGGTTTGGCTTGCGAAGCTTGAAGCTCCCTCAACAACAGAGGAAAACGCGTTTGGCCAGATGAGTTATGATGGCGTAGCTCGCTGGTCCGCCGTCCGCTGAGGGATTCCGAGAATTCCGACCATTCGCCGAATTCCTCGAAATCATCGACGAACTCTCCTTCTTCGAGTGGTTGTGAGGAGCTTGTCGCGGTAGCCGTCGTCGGCGTCAACTTCGGAGACAGACTCACGAGACACCAGCTCGCCAAGAGGCGTCCGATGAGCTACTGAGCGCTGAAAGTCCTTTCGTCGGTCGGGGATCTCCGGCAGTGGCTCTCTAGGTATATCCGTGTTGTACAGCAACTACTCTCTCTGACCCCCATGAAGACATTATCGGCTTTTGTTGTTACGACGGAGATGAGCAGATCGGTCAGCGAATGGGAATTCCCGAAGAGATTCCCCCTCGATCCCCGATTCTTCCGCTCGGCGTCGTTTCGTCGATAATAGCCGAGGGGGAATTCGGTCCGTCACGCCTTCAACAGCGAATCAAGCGCTTTCCATCGAAATTCCTCGGTAAGCCAACGGTCGGTCGGGCGGGCAGAAAGACGGACGGACCCAGTGAGAAAAGGAGGAATTGTTCACATCGGATCAAAAGAGCCTCACGCTTTTTGAGAGTTCCCCGTCTCTCTAAAAGCGTACGCTTTCATCAAGGGGAATTCCTCGATCTGTATGGAGGATTCACACTACGGCTGTGAATTCAATGTCGGAGGAGGAAAGCGAGGGAGCCGTGGAGGAGTTCCATTGGGAGGGATGCGTTCAGAGGGGCGGGCGCGGGAAATACCAAAGCAGATTCGTCAAGAATCGTTTCGTTGCAGGTGTCGACGCTGTACCACGACGCTAGCATTGGCAATGCAATAAATGTTGTTGTGATCCGGATTATGGTACTCGAAACCGAGGAGCAGAAGGTAAGGATCGGCCTCGAATCGATCGAGCGCGATATCAGATAATGTAATTCAATCCGTAGGTCGAAGTGCCCACCGGTCTGACAGCATCACAACACTTTCGGCGCAAACAGATACAGCGCCCTGAATTCTGACCCAAATTTCGAGTTGGTCGGCATGAACTCCCCCTCGGACGTGATTGTAACGCCTCGGAACGCTGAAATTCCGACCGCGGTCTCCCAGATTGACGCACTCGTTGTATATGCTTTTGGCTGCTCCACAAGAGCCTCTCCGAGCGGACGGACGTCGGCTTCCCGAAGGAGGGGTAACACGAGCCGCGATTCGGATTATGGGAACCCAGAATCAGATCAGGCTCAAGGGCGTGTCCCGTCAATCAGCGCCGAGCGCATGATCCGTTCTTGAAGGCTGGGACGAAGCTTCCGAGCGAGCACATCTTGGAATCCGTCTGCAGAACCGCATGTCCTAATTGGCACAAGCCCGTGGCGTCGGAAGCTTCTGACACTAGTCCGTTTGTTATGATGAATCAACATGAATCGCAAGTCAGAACCGTGGCGGAGAGTCTGACTCCGTCATGGCAGTCAGCCGCCTCCGGGATTTCCTCCGCATCCCATCCTTCGTCAAGAATCTGCCAGCGGCAAAAAAACCAGAAATAAGCACGGAATTGCGTCGGGAAATCCAAATATGCGAACAAACGGTGCGCAATGAATTTTCTTCGCTTTCGTAGCGAACGGCGTAGCGCTGAAAACACTCGGGAACTCTTCCGAGTGATTTAGAGCAAGCGCTTTCTGTGCTCACAATTGCTCGAAGCATTAATTCACCGGCACAGCGGGAAATTCCACTTTTCGTTGCTACTCGTGACCCACAAGCTTCGAACGGGCGGGTCTTGCCAGCATTCAGACACTCGCGAATGCGAGAGAAGAGATTCGTAGCATGAGGACTGAGTTTATGGGCGTTCCGTATCAGTCGTCGGGTGTGTCAATCGATGGACCCCGTGTATTTTTCTCGCACAGAGGCGCGTCGCGTCGATGACTTGTCGCTCGATCGATCGATCAATCAATCAATCGATGGAATACCCGAGGATTGGCGAATGCTGCCACCGAATCGGTCGCTCTTCGACTTGAAGGAGTATTTCGTTTTCCAGGTTCAAATAGACGATGAAGCTGACGAGAAACCGACTAGCGTTGACGCCACGGAAGAAATTCTCAAAAAGTTCTGCAAGTGGCAGAAACTCGTGAACCCCGCCGATGAAAGTGATCCACATCACCACGACGTGGCTATATTAGTCACCAGGTGAGCTTTATCCTGAGCCCGCGGACTTTCTCTATTTCTCAAAAGCTTTTTGTCCGCAGCTTACCATACCGCCACAAGTATCAATAACCTATTGAAAACAGAGAAGAGAACGAGCCTGAACCTTGAGATTTTTCGATGTCCGGAGCGGAATGAAGTTATCCACTCCCTGAATTATTTTCAAGGAACAGTCTATCGGGTATCTCATGAACACAACGGGGCGGCGGCGTAGGGTGAAGCTCGGCTTGATTTTTTTGTACGGTGGTAGTTTATTCTTTAGTGTACGCTGTAGAACAAGGTTACGGCGAGGCCGACTTGAGACTCGAGCAGAGACGACTCGGTTTTACATTGTCATTCGTGAGGCGGCAGATCGTTTCGCCCCGCAGAGACTTAACTGACTGCATGCATAATCCCAGGAAACGAAATCAGTCGTATACAAGTCGGCTCCTCTGGTCGCATGTCTTCTCCCCTCACAGGGCTCCCTCGCGATGAGAGGTCGCAGCGAGAGTCACTTTCTCGAGGCAATTAGCCGATAAATCCCTCCGTGGACCTACCAAGTCAACCTACGGCGAGATGAGACGAGGTATTCTCGCCTCTTTTTTGTGAGCGACGACTTACCGCGATCAGTCGAGCCGATCGGGACTTGTTCTGCGCATGCTATTCGCTTCGGTCGACATAAATGGATGGGAAAACATGATATATATGAAGAAAATGCAAATGAGAACTGAGCTGACATACTCGTGGCCTCTTGGCTCTCTTGTTGGGAAGTGAGAGGATTCTTGATCGTTGGAACACTGTACCGTAACGGGAAGAACTTCAGCGAGTATAGAGCAAATATCCCACATGAAGTCGGCGTCATCATTAAGCGATGCTTCCCCAGGATTTACGAGTTGCTTTTGCTCGCCCCTGTCTCCTTCCACTCGGACTCAACTTCTACCACCGGAATTTACGGTAGCAACGAGCGTGAGAGCTGAGAATACATTGTTTCCTATCGTGCTCGGTGGGAGACCTCGGCTGGGCTGGCGGCTCGTATTGACGGCCAGCGTTTTTGATGATTGCTATCGCCACCGACAGCTGCATTGGGGGGACGGTACCGTGCCCGACGAGCCGACGCTGCAACCGTCATGTTTGTCCGAGCTAATCTGCACTAATTGCGCTCGCAGGACGCATTAGGTTTCGAATAGCGTCCTGTTCGGCTCATTCGATCCGTGTTGTTGGCAGCTTTACATGAGCAGGAACACAAGGAATAGGTCCGTGACGGAAGAAGGCATCCCACAATTCGGACGACATTCGTATCAAGAGCGAAATTCGAACGTGGTTAGCCATCTGGGCACTTGATTTTGATTGGGCAGAAATACCCAGAGTCCATCTCGCATCCAGTAACTCCACATGTTTCGCTTCTGTCATCTGAGAGCATAATTTTTAGGGACATTCGACAGGAATAATAATTCTTAACTGTCTGTACAGCGGGTCAGGGGAACTCTTAAGCAGGCAGTCGCGTAATTTCCCAAACATCGCTCTATTTTGACTTTGACTCCCAGAAAGTGTCATCCCTCCTCTCAGCAGCTCGTCACTTCCGATAAGGCTTCGGATATCCTTTGATGTGCTTCGATCCAGCGGTCGGACAGGCGCCCGCTTTCTGAAGGCTATGCGCCCGAGCACCCCACTAAGTGGCTTGTGGCGACGAGGAAATCGCGAGGAGCGCTGCGTACGAAATCTCGAAATCGAATCCGGCGGCTCGAACAATGTTATCCGGAGTGAGTTGCACGGGGGTCTCAACTACTTTGTCGAAGTTTCGCTCCGGGAACTCTTCAGCCCATGAGCTGACTCTGTAACATCTGTAAACATGATTTTTCTTCATTCGAACGGCGTCGCATAGCGTCTAACACCAATTCCCCGACGGGAGCGGCTGGATTCCAAAGATGTTTGCGTTGAGCTGTCTTACTCGACTTCGGCAGACAGTTGGCTCCGGACGAAAAGACGAACGACGACCGGATGGTATTCACTGGTATCGTTGTCTCGCGGCTGGCTACGAATTTGTTTCGTGAACCGAAGATCGACGAGTTCCGGAGCGAGCGAGTTGGACTATATATGTTCTCCGTTCGACCTGATTTCGAGCGAAAACGGCAGCTACTTACGCCGGCGCCTCGCCGTTGGATAAGAAACGCCCCACGACGCTCTCTCTTCGGATAGATAGGCTCCTCTGCGCGAGCGCCGAGCTACCTAATTATAAAGGAGTACGGAATGGTGGGATCATCATCTTATACGTGGCGCGGGCTTAGGCATTACGCTTAACGTTATCAGTCTCGTCTGTCGAGAGACCGACAACGCCCTCGTCGTGCACGATACTTCGGGCCAACAGGGAAACACAGGCTTAGACCGCGAGAGTTCGTTGCAAGCGGAATAAGCCGGAGCGCAGCGGTAGCGCGGAAGATTTTACCGGGACGGAACGGCTCCAAGTATGCGGAAACGGATCGAGAAGTGCGCTTGAAGGATGGGTCGAGCTCTAGTCGAGCTAACTATTCATCTGGGCGTCGAGACCCAGCGAAACTATGCTGATCATCAGTCCATCGCAAATCCCAGTCTGTCCGTAACCATCTGTCTAAAGCAGAGATGCGGCTCGGCCGGGATTGTGGAGCGCGCCGCACATTCCAGCATGGACCTTTGCGCTGCTGACCGGCGAGACGGCCGGGTCCGGACTCCGGGGAAAACGAGTAGTGAAATACCCCGCGGGAGTTTTTGCGCTTTGCTTCCAATATGATCGAGACACAAGTTCCGTCGCGAATATCGATCATCCAGATGGCGTCAATACGCCGATAAAGTGCATTTGCACCAATAAAGACGGGTCACTCTGTCGGAGAACACATTAGGCTCACGACGTCGACGGCGGCAGCAGCGACTCAGGAGAAGCCGATTCCTCATAGTCGCACGATATGTCGATACATATTTCGACGCCAGTCACCTCCCGCGGCCAGCACGGGAAGAGGAAAGAGCTCAGGGCGAGCTCACAGGTGGAGCCCGAAGAGACTCCACTATGTATGTACCTGCGGCCGTTTGCGACGACGACGGCGGCGGTTGTGGCGACGACGACGACGACGAGCCAATATTTCTTCATTTTGCCAGCTGAAAGTAAGAAGAGAGTTATGGGCGACTCGGAAACACACGTTCCCTCTTCCTGTCCCGCCGACACTGAGGCATTCGCGGACGGAGCCGTGGGGAACGGATGCGTCGTCCACTGCTGTTTGAAGTGCGGCCGCGATCCTTCAATTCTTGGCTCGGAATTCCCCATGTTAAGAACAGTCACCGTCGGATATGCCTGTCGCACGTGGCAAGTCGCTGCCAGTGTTCCGCGATAATTCGTTTCGCAACCCGAGCCTCTTTCCGAGCGCGAGCCTGGCCTGTCCAAAGGAGCTCTTGAACGGTGGCAGATCTTCGCGAAGCTTCTCGAATGCATTCGTTTACGAATGCTCGTTCGAGCGTCGCGGAAAATCATAAGTCCCGAGGAAGCTTCTCCGTACGGGTATCCGGAGTCCCATATGAAACTGCGTGTCACATTCCCTGCGGCTCTTTGAGATTATTACAGCTCCAGACCGTTTTTAGTTCGTCGAACCTCCCCTCGTGATCTCGAATCTCGCCCATCCGAAACCGCCCCTGCCCCGGGACCAGCATCGCTCTTCCCAATTTCGAAATAGCTCCGGAAATCACGCTGCGTGTAATGAGAGATCTGCCGCCGCTGGTGGAACTCCAGATCGCGAGTTTCTGCCCGCAGCCATTGCATTGCCTAACCCGCTCCGTATGATTCCGACAGATTCGTTTTTGATCAGCACCGAGGAACCCGTTGGAGTAGGCTCATCGAATTCGACAGGAGCCGCTCCGACCTGGCTGGGTATAAGATACGCAGTAGGGCTTCGTGAGCGGCTCCGGTCTCGTCCTACATCGCAGAAGTCTCTCGATAGAGAGAACAGAGCTTTTTGTCTAACTGAGCGAGCGCGCGAGGAAGAAGCGAACGATTGAATCCTCATTGACAACAGCCAGTTGAAATAAGCTATCTGACCAAGAGAAGAGGGGTATAAGGTGGAAGAAAGGAGCAATGAATGGGACTGCCGGGTCGATTCAGCCAAGGAGAAAAACCTCGCGCTTATCAAGAAGTCAATTTAGAGTCGGTCGGAGGGGAGTTCAGGAGGCTGGTTAGGGAGCCAGACGCTGGCTACGAGGACGAGACGGGAACGAAGAACAACGTAACGATGCTATCTCTGAGCTCCGAAGACAAGGAAAAACGGATATCGTTAAACATTTCTGAACGAGGCCTCGAACCCTCGCGGACTCTCTCGCCCTCTTCCAAGCTCCAGAGGAGGTCTCGCTACCATTCTCGCTTTTTTTCCCTACGGAGGCGACCATTTCGTTCGCGGACTCAGAGTCTGCCTCTGTTCTTCGAATTCCTCCTGCATTCAGAATATGCTAGAACCATAGTATATTCCATTTTTCCTCTAAAAAAATTGACACAGAGTCTAAACCCTACTTACAGGAACAACATCTGCACCAAAGGCGATCAGCCATGCACCACATTGGGTCTGGCGGAAGTTGCAGGGATGTGTCAACCCCAGAGAAGTTGCAATGTCAACGAAGATTCTGGACTCACGTTGGCTTTCACCATCGCCCACGAGCTTGGACACAAGTACGTGAACTTATATCGAATACGGAGCAAGGACGCTCACTTAGGAGCGGATTTAAGAGACACGTAACCTCGAGACCTTGGGAGTCTCGCCATTAGACATCAAATATGGGTTCATACGTCAAATCTGCGTGGCTAGCTTCCGACACAGTTTTTTTCTCTCGCTCATCATAGCTGTTCGCATTCAAAAGTAACTCGTTTATCGATTCGGGCTCAAAAGTAGGCGTTATGATCGCATCTGAACAAACGACGGGAATTCTCGTCGATTGCCGTCTGGGCAACGCGCGATGGCAGGAGAACGTAGGCGGCGTTGGCCAAATAAATTTTCATACATGTACTTACATTGCTCTCAAGTTCCGCTGAGCTCTCGACGAAGCAACTCGGAAAACCACTGTAGGAGCGGGGGAAGCTCGCAGCATCGACCATTCAGACGGGAGACTCGAAAAAGCAAACTTTCTCGAAGAGTTCCCCGCCGCCGGAGAACTCGATCACATTCTCCACACGTTCCGAACAATGAGCTCAGATAGCTTGGAGTCCTATGATAAGAATTGTTCAATTCTATCATCCGAGTCTCGTAGAATTCATCTGCGTTCGGATCTCGCATTGAGAAGCGATCCAATATCGGGAGCGGGCGGGAATCCACCGATCCAGGCCCTATCGGGACATCAGGACATTCTGGAATTGATCCGAGATATTAATATAAATGCAGCTCCGGTTTCGCGCATCGTCAGTCTTCCTGGCATGTGTCTTCCCGGGGATGGCGCAATTTCCACCGCAACGCCGAAAACTCTCAACCTCAACCCGTGGCGAGTTTGAGGGGGATACCGCACAAGGACGTAACGTCGGATCTGACCGGCAGTTCTGTCTCTCTTTGCAGTTTCGGTATGTCGCATGATGGACCTCATAACGGATGCCAGGCTCCTCTCGGAGAACGGCAGCACGTGATGGCGCCTCATTTAAACTCCGATACGTCACCCCTTGTTTGGTCCAACTGCTCTCGACATGAGATCACCAACTTCCTTGAGTGAGTAGCCACATTGTCGTCCGGCCATCGCATCGTTATATATTCCTGAGGAGACGAGTCGGATTTCGTCGCAGGAAACGCTCAAATTAACGTGACACTCTCGGAATCAGCGGTCCGACAGTTTCGGTGTTCACTCACTCAGTGTGATGGCGGGAAAATTCCGAATTCCCAGAATGGTTTGCGGACAATTACCCCGGAGCCGCTTCAAGCCGAACTCATTCCAAACATATCGAGCATGAGTTTCTTTCTTTCATTCGTTTCAGCCGTGACTGGGGTCGCTGTTTGGACGACGAGCCCCGCGCGCATAGCTACACGTTCCCTGTGCTTCCTCCGGGAGCCATGTACGATGCGGATCACCAGTGCCGATTACAGTACGGAAACAGCGCAAAATACTGCGACGGAATCGAGGTACGCTCACGTTCTTCAAATTTTCCCCTAAGCCCATCGAGCAGCTCGTACGAATTCGGCGCGCAGTTCACGAAACTAAAGGAAAGCTCCTCAAGATGATAAATGCCTGATGGATGTCGCGTCGGTAGTTAGTGGAGTGAGGGGGGCAAGAACTGAGGGAGGAACACGACCGGGAGGGCGTTCGATCACGCCACATGAACTTCGCTCAAGGTCCGCCGCTCTTCGTTCGCTCATTGAATTAACAGGTGGCCATAAATTAATGTCGGAACGGGCTGTGGGGGCTCGGTTCGATTAAGTTAAATGGCCATCTCGATGGAAAGGCACACGCGAAGCCTCTGAGCTAGCGGCGACGCTTCATGTGGACTTCGAGCGTTCCGGTTCGGAGATGCTATCCGTTGCGGTTGTCAAGAGCATTGCTCCCTCGGAGTTGCTGCTTTCGGGAGGCTAGAGTGATCTGGGAACACGGGCTCGAACCATGTAACGCTACGATGAAGGGAATTTCCTGCTCTTCACTCAGCGGACTCTCCACAGAGCGTAGCTCGACCCGATCTGGACGATAAGGTACAAAATTTAACTTTCATTAAGACCTCCGAGCGTGACTGAGACTGGACGTCCTTGTGCTGTGGACGTCGACGATCTATTAAATCCCCCCGGATGAAGACTCAACCAGGCTGAGTGAGCGCGCCGAATAGGGTCGATAGCGAGCGTCTGACGTTAGAGAGAATTTTCAGTAAGAGAGCAATCAAGTGTTCGCTCTCAAGGAGGGCGGAGTCGGAAACTTCCCCATCGATGATTGTGCGGCCACGAGCTCTAAATCATACCTCAATCGTTCTTCTCGGCTTGTTGAGCAGCAGTGTGCGCCCGATCGGAAGAGATACGAGCCGTGCCAAACGGAGCACAAGAACAAGATGTTTCTCGAGTTCAACTGGCTATTAGTAGCTGGAATCTCTGAACCAAAGTTTATGAAGCTGATTGACAACGAGATCGGGAATTCCGGAATTCATCGAGTGATTCGTATGGACAGATGACATAATCCTCGCGGATTGACGAGGGGATCGGGTCGGATATGAATGAGACTGACCCACGAGCTTGGAGTTCTCGTACGAAGAGCCGTGATCGTTGCAAAGCCGAAAAATCGAATGGGAGACAAGCCTGTCGGATTCCGGTCCTGTTCCACGGCGGACCGAGAATGCTTCGATATCGGAGACTTTCGGGAGTCTACACGATCGTCCTCGCGTTCCCGGAACGGAACTCGATAAGAGCATTCAATGCGAATGGTTCTGCCGGTGAAGTCCTCTCGTATTCTTTCCCTTATCGAAAACTGTTTTTCAGGAGGTTTGCCAGACTCTTTGGTGCCGTCTGGATAATAAGTGCGTCACAAAAATGGAACCGGCTGCCGAAGGAACCGTCTGCGGAAAGAACAAGGTAAAGCTACATTCATGTCCCGTGAGGGGCTATTACGATACCGGTTCCGGGGATGCTCCATTCAGCTGCTGGAAATCGCATCCCGCCAAAGCGCACTTCTCGGAGCCGCCGGGAGATCGGAAACCTCCCCGCGCCCTATCGAGAATTTTTTGCTCCGAGGCTCGAGGTCGGAATACCGAGGTCTTCTCAATCGGAGCAAATTCATCCTGATTGCGATCAAGCGAACGCTAACGCATTCGGTCGAAGTGAAAACGAAAAACATATTGAGGGGAGAGCTCGAGCAACGTCCCTGGGCTGCAATCGGAACTCTCAAGACGCATGCGAATGACAGACTTCCTGGTTTCAGTGGTGTTACCTGGGAAACTGCACGGAGATGGGCGATCGACCTGAAGCAATCGATGGCGAATGGGGTCCATGGAGTGAATGGGGAGACTGCTCGAGGACCTGTGGCGGCGGCGTCATGCAGTCTGAACGGCACTGCGACAACCCTGCGTAAGTATTGAGGAGCAGCGGGGGCACTCCGGGATGGGGGGGAAGCACCCAGAACCCCGGCGAAACGAGCCCCACATCTGGTCTTCGGGGGGATCCTACCGAAGAGTTGTCGTTTATGGAAGCAGCTCGAAGAATGAATGATCTCGGGGATATAGAAGCCGAACCATCAACAGGCTTCCATCGCGGCGCGGAATCATTTACGAGAGAAGATAGACGAGTTTATCTCTCCATCAAATACTCGAATTCGAGGGAGGGATGGCTCCACCAATTTCGTCGTTCCACTCCCATACTGAACGACATCGGATCGTGAACTCCTGTGAACATATGGCCCTGACCGGGGTTTGAGTGCCGAACTTTCACTCGATGAAATTTCTATGAAACAACGACCGATGGGGCCCACAAAGCCTAATGGCTTGCTCTCGATGAAGTTGCTCGTCGATTTTATGAGAAAATACTCTTGACTCTACGGAGCGTTCCCTCGTGGAGTAGTTGTTGGTGGGTTGCTGTTTTCGCCGCCACCGCCGCTAGGTTGGCCATATAGAGACGAGCCTTTTCCCTTTACGGCACCTTCTCTTGATCCAGCCTGCTTCCCAGTGGCGTAGTAAAGGCACCTCCCAAGGGGTGCAGCAATTCTTCCATGGCCGAAGTCAAGAAACGAAAATACTCCCCGGTCTACAATAGTTCGTTCCGACTTTCGTCCGACTCCGTGGAAGCTATCAGACACAAATTCCTTCTGGAAGAATCCGTAGAATTCCACTGACTTCATCGGGAAATTTCGATCGCGTTCCACCCACGGTGATATTCGGATAATTTGCGGGGTGGTGGTTCCGCAAAAATGGTCCATCGATCAGGACTCGAGTACATCGGATTTCTCAGTACATGATCTCAGTCGCGACGAGGCCAGTATTCGTGGAACTCCGTAGAAAATTCGAGATTTCGGTAATATTCGATCTGAACAAATCATTCGTTGTCAGGCCGGCTTACGGAGGACGCTACTGCATCGGAGAAAGGAAACGCTACCGAATGTGCAATACCGATGACTGTCCCGAAGGAACGCCGAGCTTCAGGGCTGAGCAGTGCTCGTCGTTCAACAATGTGCCGTACAAGGTTGGTTTTTGGCGGAGTTCTCGTAAGGGAAGCGGGTTTGGTAGGTACGTCCTATCGTGCGTCGATCGGGGGAGTTTCCCAGCGGGAGCAGCAGCGGCAGAGGGAACGTCGGATAAACTTTGCTATCGTCGCTTGAGGCTCTTATAATTAACGAAAATCTTCTTCTATTGCGGCCGTGTTTACCGATAAAGTGTTCGAAGCTCTCTGGCAATCAAAACTTTTGCCCGAAACAACAGTCGGCCATATCGGATGGGACGCAGTAGCACCGTCTCTCGGATGGCGACCCAATGGGGAGCGAGTCGGGGAAGAATCCACTTTCATTTCATCGAGCGACGTGACGTTTGTATCTTTGCAGGGAGAGCTGTTCCATTGGTCGCCGGTGTTCAACTCAGAGAAGCCCTGCGAGCTGCATTGCAAATCTGATGGGAAATTCTTCTCCGTGATGCTACGCGACACGGTCGTGGATGGAACACCCTGTCAACCCGGTTCTCGTGACGTTTGCATTAACGGAAATTGTCGGGTGAGTATTCTGGCCTTGGGAAATCGAATCCGGAGCGGCGAAACCTTTTCGGATCCGTCCGCACCGAATTCACCGCCCCGGAACCCTCACACCGAAATCGTTGAGCCGGTTCCCGGGCTAGCATCTTCGGGAGGGCCGAGGAAAGAGTTCGGAAGGAACTAAGAATTAAGGAATTCGACTCTGCCAAGGGGTCCGGCCGAGTTCCTCTATGTTCGTAAATTGACCAGATGGAGGTACCTGGGCTCACCGCTCGTTAATGATTCAACCTGAATAGGTAGATCAATGAGTTCGATGTAGGCGTAATTTTTCGGAGCCACTCGCGGCAGCTCCTTCGATCCCGGCTCAACGTCATCAATTAATCTCCGTCGCATGAATAGTGCTGTACAGGATATTGAACAGACTGACTTTATCAACTGTAGCTATACTGAAGGAGTATCCGGAAAGGACCCGCAAGCTCGCTCGCCCCTACATACATAGCTAGCCAGTGCGAGTCCCACACAAATCGATGCTTCAAGTGATCCCGCACCGGGCGACATTGTCCGCGTATAAACACGTATAATGTAACGCAATATTGTAACAGAATAGCAGTCGTCGAGAGATTGCCCGCATCGCCGGCGGCCGTCGTACGGTCGGTCGCTGGATCGGCCTACGAGGGGATCGTATGTCGACCCTGTTCGTAAACACGTATCGTTTCATCACACCGATCTATAGAGGCTTTCAGCTGGGTGCCCGAATGCGATTCCGTGTATGTCTGAGCAGTGGGGCGGAAGACTACGCCATCGGTCTGAACAAACAAACTGCGAAAATCTGAACTCGACACCTTAAGAGCCGCGTGGGGCCGCTCATCGTTTGAACACGGGGCGAAGTTGACAAAAGAACGTAGGCAGCGGGACTCGCTCACCCGAGCCGCCCGACGAGTAACGATACTAGTTCGCCGATTTGTTTGCTTACAGAGCGTCTCGTGTGACTGGGGTATCGAGACCAGTGCGCAGGAGGACCGTTGCGGCATATGCCACGGCGACGGTACGCAGTGCGTCACCATACAGAAGCTGTTCAACGTCACAGAAGGACTCGGTAATGCTAATGATTGAGTTCGTTCGCTCGCACGCTCCATCCATCGTAGTTTACCTACCTGCATTATATATGTATCCCGCTATCGATATATTTCGCACCGCTTTTTTTTCGTTTCTCTGCGTTCTCCGGCCGATTCCCCCGTTCGGCGTTGCTATCGGCACTCTGTGAGTCTGGAAACGGCTCCGATGCGAGGGCATTGCGAGTATCTCGGAGTCCTTTCGTGATCAACCGCTGTGTGCACCACGAGGAGTTTGTCAGCCCAGACAAACTCGGTCGTGTTCGCTCGGTAAACGAGCGAGTGCGATTCGGATCCAAATGTGATGTTCGAGGAAGTTTTTTTTCTGCAACATGCTAGGTCTCCGCTTGATTTCCCGATGGCTGCGAACACCGACAAGTGACTTCGCACCGTCGACAGTGTTTACCCACAGCTCGGCTGGAGCGATAGCTGAATCGACTGGCGGACCCACCGCTGCTGGCTGCATCAGACGCCGAGAATTCATAGAAGCTCGTTTTGCCCCGATCCACTCGGGAGTCGGGAGGCAGGAAAGATGGAATGAATTTGTTGCAGTCGGTGGTTGGAGAACGGCGTCGGCGGATCGTCTAAGCGAACGATGTTCTTTTCATTCTTTAGGCTACGTGGAAATCGGTCGGATCCCTCAAGGCGCGCGCAATATCCGCGTCGAAGAAGTGCGCGAATCCACGAACTACATTGCCGTACAGGGAGCCGGTGGCGAGTTCTACCTCAACGGACAGTGGTTCATCCAGTGGACCGGCGACTATCCAGCCGCGGGAACGACCCTTTTCTACGAGCGGAAAACAGAACGAGATGTTCTCTACGCGCCCGGTCCCATCAAAGAAGGCATCGTCATCTTCGTAAGTAGGCTTTCAGTTACTTCCGTAGGTACCGTAGGTGAGTATATTCGTTCGGTTGGCTTTCTGTTGCCCGATGCTCGCCGTCGTTCTCTCCAGGATTTCGCTCTGAGCCCGCCGGATCCGCTCACTTGCAGCTTCGAGCGGCCGTATCGTTGTGGGTGAGCTTTGAGGAGCCGACGGACAGGGATGTTAGTACTGCAGTCGGAAATTTCGGAAGCCAGCGGCAAACTTTCTTCTACCTCGTTCTGCTCTTATCTGGGTTTCTTGGCTCGGTGGCGTCGTTATCCTGCGGTTCCCCGCTGCCTCCACCGGGCGCTTCTTTTTCCGTCGGCTCAGCCGCTAGGCTCCTTCTCGGTGTTCTTTCCTGTTGGTTCCTCACCAACTGCCTCAGCCGACTGTCTTCTCCGAACGAGTCGTCGCGGAGCTTCCTCCTCGTTATCTCGGATCTTATCCAAAAGGAAACGACATTATGACTACGAGGATTCCGAATGTGTGACGTTTTGACGTCCAACGCCGACGACGACTGCGAGCGGGTGGGGGATCCGAGGGAACTTCCCCTCCTCTGGAGCTACTCTTGCGTTTCATGAGTTTCCTGTGTTGAGCAGGGCCGAGAGGAGCGGCCGCACACTGGGCGCGATGGCTCCCATGCTCTCCGGGAGAGCTCTCAACGAGTGCGATCGATGAACGAACGACTCAGCGAGGCCAGATGAGACGTCAAACCTAGAATCCTCTTTGAATGTCGCCCGAATGTTCTCCTGCCTGTCGTATCCGCAAGGATTTTACGATTCAGCGAACCGTCTCGTCGATCGTCGAGAAGAGCGAATTCCATTCCGTCAATGTACGAAGGCCCCGTACGAACATGCGAGCCGATACTTATCGGCTGAATCATTATAATCAGTTGCGATAATCAGTTCTCGCGTTCGCTTCCCGGGAAATGGATCTCGTCAGTATCAATCATGTAGATGCTCCTCCCGTCAGTCTTGTCCTCGTCGACTCTCTTTTTTTTAGTTTCATTCGTTATACTCCCTGAGCACCTTAACGTATGAGCATTTCACTGGAAGCATCTCACGTATGAGAGACGTCACCGTCACTGTATCTCCGCAACTGTGATTCCGCTGTGCTCAATTTGCATCTGAAGACTTCCTTTTGTAATCCGATCACTCTTTTTGCGGGGTGCTTGCGCGCAGCCTCTGTGTGATCGCGACTCCCTCAAAAAAGCACAGGAGGTTCGCCTTGAAGTTTCTACTCTGTCTGACTGCGATTAAAACTCTGCATCCGAGCACTCACTCAGTTTCTGATTGCGCTCAGTCGGACCTGCGAACTTGATACGCGATGGATCCGAGAGAAAATTGAATGGATTCTCCCAAAAGCTCTCGGAAGTCACATCATAAAAAGGTTGACGCTAACGACAGTATCCTTTGAGAACGAGCTCTTTCAATAAAAATCGCGTCCTCGACTCTACGAGGACCTGTACGGCTTGAAGCCATCCCTGCCTCGAGTCCCGTAAGATTTTTGAATGACGGCCGGCGTCGAATGGAAAAACCATTCGACTCCTCCTTCTTCGACGAAACTCTGGGCTTTTAGATCCGAGTAAGCAACTACGACGCTGTCGACATTATTGTATACGTTTCCGTTTTTCAGCTGCTGTTCCAGTCGGAGAACCCAGGAGTGAAATACGAATATACGATGCCTGAGTCGAATGCTACCCGCCGTCCCGAATTCGAATGGAAATACGCGGACTGGACGGTTTGCTCCGTGACTTGCGGAGGAGGTACGTATTCGCTCCACTGCGAGCTCTCCGAGAACTCAAGCCTTTGATTTTGGGGCGGGGTCCGTTCCGGACTGGCACCGTCGTCGGTTTCTTAGCCGCCACCTCCTGCCGGCGACGACCAACAGCCAGTGGGTGAACATCGTGATTTGCAGTACGCAGCGGAAACTGCCATCGCAAGCTGCGCCCCAAGACGCTTTATTCTAGAAAGCTCTAACACGCGGGTCTTTTGAGGAAACTACAATAACTAGAACCGAGGACCGAAAAATGCACCGAGCGGGCGGCCACTACTACGCCGGCAGCTTTTCCAAGTGCTCTTTTGAATCGGGGGTATTTCACTCGTTCGAAGAAGCCGATGACCCGATTGTCTGTCTGAAGTGGATGAGATTGGATTTCTGCCCAGTAGAAGCTACAAACGGACCTCCTGAAACGCCTTTGTATTTCTTTCTTATCGTGACTGTCAACGAAGTTTCTCCCCTTCTTTTTTCTCAAAGCACAGAATTTCCAGCAAACATCTGCCGAGGTCCGGGTGGAAGTCCACGATTCCCTCATGGCGGCTGAATGGCTCAAAGGATCGTTGACATCCTCAAGGGTCGGGTCGTGTGTACATGTAATTCATCTGCTTGTTGCTGAAGGACTCCGTGTGGGAATGTCCGGACGTTTCGCTCTTTGTCCGGCTCCCTCACCGCGTCACTTGAGTCTATCTATTCATCCGTCCATCGGCGCAATAAGTGAACATGTCTGTTGCTGCTGCGACATATTTACGTTAAGGACACTCCTCTCGCCATTAGGCACCGCCGTATGTATACGTCGAAGACCAGTAGTGGCCATCGAGATCGGATACACGTTAGGTGCGTCTCCCGTCGTCGTCGTCGATGTCAGCGTCGTTCAGTCCGCTCATTTCCGGCCGACAATAATGATGATGGCCACGACGATGGTGATGATGACGCTGGTCAGCGAGTACCGTCGTCGTAGTCTTCGAGCACATGGTGTCGCTCGGAGTCGGACCGGGCGTCTGCCGTCGATTCGGCGAACTTGTTCGACGGTCTCCGTTCCAGTAAGCCAGATATGGCTCCTACGGCCCAGCCCCACATTCACTCAGTCAGACTACTGATGACAGTGATGGCCTGCCCAGGACGACACACTGACGTCGGCAATGATGACGGCGGTGATCTTCTTTATCCTAATAACGCGTGTGTATGCCGCCGCCGCCGTCGTCGACGTCGCCACCTCTTCCCGAGAAGAGAAACTAACGCCATTCCCATTGTCGAGAAGCCGTGACAGTGGCGCGGGCTTGAGTATCTGTGATCGCGATCTACTCGGCTCGCTGTTCGACAGTCGTTACGACCGTGTGCTGAACCAGTCGTGGAACTTTGATCAACTCGGAACTCGCGATGACTAATTGAATGAATTTCGCTGTGTTCGCATCGTCGACTGACAATTCGTTCCACTGCTTTCTCATCTAATTCGCATCAATATCGACAATATGATGACGATACTATTATGATCAGGTCGACGACGGGGACGGCGCGACGTCGTCGACGATGATGCCCCGCTGCAGCTGGCGCAGGCAGACACGCCTGTACCGCCCGAGTAATGGAGCTCCTCTTGATGACAAGAAACAGCCTTTGACCTGTTGGACCTATGGCGGCTGTATGTATTTCACTTCGAGCAAACAAGACAGGACGACGGGAATGGCGTCGGCACGTGCGGGGAAATATTCGAAGAGACAGCACGCGAAGACGGAGAAGGAAAAAAACGCACGAGGAGGGACTCGGTCTCGCTTCGTCTTTCTCGCGAAAGGATAGCGGACTGGTCTGCATCGCCCTCGGCCATACAAGTCGATTCGCTCGCGATCGTCCCGCTCCCCTTTTTTCAGTCACAACCCCGGTATTTCCGTCGAGTCCTTGGCGTGCTGCCCCTAATAATCTCCGTGGCGTAAGGCTCGATGCCTTAGATTCCCTCCTCCTCCTCCTCCGCCGCGGAGAATCGAGACGGATGGCAGGAGGGTAGAGGGGCGGCAGGTGAAAAAAAGAAGAAGAAATCGGGACGTGTGTGTAGGGGAGGGATGAGGCGAGGTTTGTAGACATTTCTAAGAAGTGATCGACTCCGTGTACGTCAACGGTGCTGATCGACTCCGTGTTCGTTGACGGAGAATTGATGTCGGTTCGAGGAAGCCGGCTCGAGCATCCGGTGATTGTTCCTGAGTCGCTCTCTTGTTTATGAGGATCCTGAGATAGAAGCTAGAAAATTCCTCGGGCTGTACGATGATAACGGGTGTGACTAAACTTTGGATTGCCCTTCGCGCCGCAGGATACCAAGAGTCGTATGCCAAGTGTATGGAGAAAGAAGCAGGCCTGGTGGAAGATACGTACTGCACGCACACCCCGAAGCCCAAGCCAATCAAACGGACGTGTAATACGCACCAATGTCCCGCGCGTTGGTGGACCGGGCCGTGGCAGCACTGCTCTGCAACTTGCGGTGATCAGGGTCGCAGGAAGCGAACCGTTCTCTGCATCAGGTTAGTTCACTGATTTCTGTCCTCCGCATTCGAGCAAGGAGTTGAGCGTCGCACCCTTGTCCGCGCTCGAGTATTTCGGTTGCTGAACGCTCCGAGGAAACTGGTGTACGGAAAGTGTACTCCTTCACGTCTGTCGACACACGGAGGCGAGGGGAAAGATGTGGAGTGTTTCTGCTAATGGAACTTTTGAGGGACAGGACAGCCGTCTTTCATTCGGTCGGGTCCCATGGTCGCTCAGTCGGTCGTCAGACCCGGGCTCTAATCCCTCTCATCCTCCGAACAAGAGGGACGGACAACTGATATTTCTTGGCGGATTCATCCGTATCCGGGAGACAACGCTGAGAGAGCCGCAAAGTCTTCATACAGGGGACTGTTTTTACTCAAACTCATCCGCGTCCCTCCACGCGGGACCGACGGGCCCTCCTGGGAGTGCCCGCGGCTCGTATAAGTTTGATTTACCTCGGGTCAGAGTTCTACATCTTATCTGGTTTGCGAATATCTCGTCCGGAAGACCTTTTGGATCATCCTCTTCGGCGTCGCTTCCGTCGCGAGCGGAGTCTACTGAGCGCAAGACCCCCTAGATATTCTCTCGTTCTTTTTTTCCCTAATTGTGAGGATCAAAACACGTGAGGGACCAGGGGCACGCATCAAAGAACGCTCAGGGCTCGGACCTAATTCTTAGACCTGGATTCGATCGCTCGCTCGCTTGCTCAGTCCTGATGTGCGTGCTGACTGAGGATTTCCAAAATCTCCTACCTACGGCTTTGACGGAAATAATCCCCTGAGATTCTCTTTCTCGCTATAACTCGAGGAGCAGCCCAGGCCGAAGCAGTCGTATTTCGGAACGATCCAACTCGAGCTCAGAGCTGAGTGGAATATGGACCAAGAATTTCGAGCAGAACCCTCGCCTTCGCCCGCTTACCGCGGAGCGTCCGGCGCTGTCTCTCGCGCAGTAACCTGACATTCGATTACGGAACCATGACTATTATACAAGGGCTTCCTCCACAGATCTCTCGGTACCGACGAGCAGCTTGCGCTTAACGACGATCGCTGTGCTGCCGTAACAAAGCCCCACGACCAGGAGCCCTGTCCGGTCACCCCTCAGTGTCCCGAGGACCCTAATTGGATAACATCGGAATGGTCAGACGTGAGTAGTAGTCTTTTCCGCCTGTTCATCACCCTCAGGTCGACCCCTTGCTCATGCATGTCGCTCCTCCGTCGTCTGTCTCTCTCTCTCGCTGGGTGATTCGATTGTTCCGCATGCACACGCGCCGAAAGATCTCGAGACCCGAAATGAAAACAGTCTCGAGTCCGGTGCTCAGCCATACATCAGCTGCTGATGCATCTAATCTCATGACCAATAAGACATGCTACGCATCCGGAAGATACGTCAGGAGAGAGAAAGTGAATTCGAAAAGAAAACGACGGAAGCCGCTGTGCAGATTCTTGGGACTCGTGCTCGTGGCCTGATTGTCTTCTGAATGGGTAATGTGGCTGGATCGCCGTTCTTGCTGCTCCGACAACGGCATCAAACCTTCTTGCGGAAGACAGCGTATGGCAGCATGAGCTGTTCTGCGATGGAGAGACGTCGCTCGACCGATTGTGACGTGCAGCCCGGGCCCGTCCTAATTTCCAGGGGCGGGGCTCTTATTAAGACTTGTTGGGTACCGAGCTCCGTCGTCCCTTCCCTCCTCTCCCGTCTCGGGAGTCCAATAAATACTCGGGCTTGACCCGTTGCAGTATAAGTCGTAGAACGTCTTTATCAGTCACATCCCAAGAAGACTGATCACGTGACTCGATGATTTAGAGGGAGTCACCCGACTGCCGACTCGGGTCCCACACCCTCCTTCAACTCGTCAGAGCTTACGAATGGAGCTTCCCTGTTTCGGTATTCATCGTGAATATTTCTGAGGTTCTCCGCTCCTTACAACTTGCAGACCTGTCGACACAATCCGTGCGCGAATCAGACTCGTGAAGTGAACTGCGGACAAATCGAAGGGTGCGACAACGGCACCAAACCAGTGGAGTTCCGGGTGTGTGATCCGAACGAGTGCGGTAGATGGAACGCTGGGACCTGGTCTGAGGTGAGATCTCGACTGTAATAAAAAATGTCGCTCTATTTTGAATTTTGATTCCATTCCGTCCAATCCCGCCTCTCTGGACTGTCTCCTCTCCGATGCTCGTTCCGTCGGGGAGTCCTGGAGACCTGAACGTAGAGAGCGGACCCGTTCAACGCGCTGCTTGAGCTGCGGCTCCGGGAAACACTGCGGAGGGCTGCGGGGGAACTTCACGAAAAAGAAACGTATTGGATACACCGAAGGAAGAGTTTGCGGCTGCCGGAACTCTCGCTGATCACACGAAATTATTACAGTGCTCCGAATCTTGCGGCGGTGGACTCCAGGTACGGAAAGTCACATGCAACGGAGGACACGAAAGGTGCTCCCGCAGCGAGGAGCCGGCCTCCGTTAGGTCCTGCAACAACAACCCATGCCCTGCGGAGGAAGAACCTTCCGCACAGCAGCCCTATGACGACACTTCCGGTGAGTTGCGGAGCGGAACAGAGCGGTTGCGACGGGGGGGGGAGGGCAGCGGTTTCCGAATGCCGGGAGCCCATCGCCGGACTCCATGGCGGAGCCGAAAAATTTTCCGGGAGAAACGGGCTCTCAGCATCGATCTGGGAAGCTGCTAGGCGTCCGGTTTCATGTCAGAACCCCATCAAGACAACAATCGTTGCGCCACCACTGGCAGCACTATGTTAATCGCGGATTCGTATAGATTCTGAATTGGTTGTCACCGGATGAAGTCCTGAGGGATCTCGGATGGGGCTCCGACCGAAATGCGGGCCCCGCAAACGAATGCACCTAACCGACCGAGCTCCATCGGCTGCGAGCTAGAATCGAGCAAGCATCGTGAATCATTCGCCGAGCGGGAAACCGAAAGTTCAATTCTCTCTCATTCCCAGATGAAGATCGGCCTCAGGAAGTCGTCGAAGACTCGAAAAGCGACCTGGTTATCGATGTGAGTGGCAGTGTCATGGTAGATGCTCCAACAGCAGCATCGGCAGCTGAGGTGGCAGGCGGGGACATCGATGGACCACAAGAAGAGAAACCGGGGCTACAGGTTTCCCTAGAAGGTCTCAGGTACGCTTGGAGGACTTCTAAATGGAGCAAAGTGAGTACCAATCTGCGGCTCGACCATCGCGATTCTGTTGTGCATTCGGCCATCCGGATCGTTGGAGCAGCGGCCCTTACTTTGAAGTTTTTGAAGCCGAGGATCCAAAACGTTCGATGAGGAGAGAAATACTCAGGAGGAACCGAGGGCCCGATATAGGAATAAAATGAAATATCAGGACAGCGCTCACATTCCCGACGTTAGCACGGAGGTTCTCAAACCGATGTCATGATCTGACGGGAAAACCCCATTTCAGTGTACAAAGAATTGCGGGGGAGGCATGAAGTCCCGTCATGTAAAGTGTATAGACAAAATAACGCAGCACGAACAGTCGGCAGAAACGTGTCTGAAACACGACGAAATTGCTCTGAGCTCTAAGCCGTCGGAGAGCGCCGACTGTAACACCGAGCCCTGTCTCGAATGGGAGATCACCGAGTGGTCCAAGGTGGGTACTACTTCCCTTTCGATCTATTCCGCCGAGTGAAATTCTCGCGTCAATCGGTCGTCCGGTACCGCTAGCGTTCGATCGCCCTTCCGTCGAGCCTTTATTTTCGTCTCTCGTTCGATAACCTCGAAGACCTTCTGCGGCTTCGATCCGCCAGACGTTCCCTAGAGGGCCGCATGGCTCGCGGTACCCAGACCTGAGCTGTAGCCGTAGCGAGCTTAACGAGTCGGCAAGACGACCTCTAAAAAGTGAATGCGCAGCTGTGTGTTCCATGTAGGCAGCGGGCTTACACTCATAGCGGGGCGAATGCATGTAAGCTCACCAAGTAAGTCTCTGTGTCTATCTTAGTGCTCAGCAAGTTGCGGTAATGGCACTCGTGAACGCTCAGTGAGCTGCCCAGTGGCCCACAGATGCGAGCCATCCGTGAGGCCTCAAGGTCTCATGGCTTGCTACGGTGAGCCTTGTGAGCAATGGGTTGTGGGCGAATGGTCCGATTGTCAGGGCTGCGGACAGAACGCCACTCAGCGGAGGTAAGTACTCTCCCCACAGCACCCCAAACATGATTATGTTCTGTCCCATCCCTTTTTTGAATTATTCGGTTGAGTTTTCCTTCCTGAGGAGGCTGTCCTCGAGGTTTGGGGCTGCTGGACAGAGACGGACGCGAGGCGAGTACTCAGGCTCGGGTTGAGCTCGGGAGGAAGTCAAAATATTCATTTCCGATAATTGTTCACGCCCATCCCCGTGAGCATCCTCCATAGTTTCCATAGTTGTAAATGTCGAATGTCGACACAGTCGCAGTCCGCGCAACGCTAAGTCGGTCACATCCAAACATGAATCGTCGGGCGAAATTAGGATCCCCGGTCGACGAAACTGCAGACAGGGTTCCGGAAAACGCTGCGACGAATTAATTTCGCATTTCACCGTCCCAAAGTTCGCTTTTCCTCTGTTCTTGCTGTGAGCTGTCGAGGAGCGACAAGCCACCGTGCACACGATGAACACATAGACAGAGAGAATGACGAACGAACCGTGCGACCAGCCAGCCAGCCAGCCAGCCAGCCAGCCGACCAAGCAAGCAACGACGAGCGACGATCAGACAGGCGGCGGGAACAAGGATAGGCTTCAAGCAAGGCATTAGGGAATGGGTGGAAAGACATTCCAAACTCTGTCCCTGATGAGGCTTTAATCGCCTGCCCGTTTCGTCTCCTGGAAGCGCGCGCTCGCGTCAATCATTTCACACCATTGAGCTAACGACCGAGCGGAGAGCGAGCGGACAAGCTGCCGAGCAGCCGGACGAGGAACCTACATGAGAAGGAACAAAGCTACTCCTCGATACGGACCACGACTAGCATGATCACGACGTCGCGTCGGACGTCGACATGGACGATCGACAGCAGAATTTAATTTCGGCTCCCGCACATTTCCTCGTTGTCGTCCTTCGCCATGGAACTTTCACCATCCTGCTCGATTGCTCCGAGTCGGCGCTTAGAAGTAGGAAACCGCGCAAGACACGAGCAGGAATAAAAAAAGAGGAGGGAGAGGCTGAACCGCGAGAGTATCCAAGAACTCCGAGACTGGACTCTTTAATGAGACGCAAGATCTCGTCGGTGGAGTCGCGTAAGGCAACAGAGTCAATCAATGAAGGGGAACTTCTCATTTCGGATACATACATCGCTCTCAAAAAAAGATATCGTTGATAAGTAGGGCTCTGGCTCATGAAATCGAATGAGGGCTCAAATTCTCCCAAGCGAGCGGATGGACCTCGGTATCTTCCTAACGAACGAGTTCATCAGATGGTCAGGGAGGATGATGTGAAATAATAGACGGACGAAGGAATTTCAGGAAGCTAGAGGAGTCAAACTGCGGGGAGGACAGTTAGTATTACGAGTTCCGACTCGGGTCACCCATGTCTGCCGTCCACCTACTTTCCTCCGCTCGTGTGGCCGCTTCCTTGTGGCTTAACACAAGGGCTCGTTAGCCTTGCGGCGTGCTTCTATCTTCCGAGGCATGTAAAAGGCTGCGCACCAGGGAACGCAGGTGGAAGGAAGGTGCGGGGGAGAGCCTTCCGGGCAAGCCTGCTTCCACTCGGATGCTTTCATACGTAAATGGGACGAGCCATAAACGTACGGAGAATGAATGAACGAATGAGTGAGCAAACGACGAGACTGACACACCGCTTCGACTCGACTGGGTGGAGAAGTTCATCATCGGACAGGAAAAACGTAAACAAATGTATCTGGTGCCCCGAGCGTTTCTACGAGTCTACTGTATCCGCATTTCCCTTCAATCGCGGTGGGAGTCACCCGGCACATTCCCGTTTCTCGGACGGGGACCCAAAGACGCGTCCCCGCGTTAACGAGGTTGTTAGCGCGTCCGTTACACCTCTAGACAGAACAGGGTCCCTCCCTTAGAACAGGGTCAGGGAGACGCGAGGGACTCGCGGAACGACATCTCAATGGATTTCATTTGACGGAGATAATTATTTATTCATAGCCAATAAAAAAAAGGTCCGTCGCAGCCTATCGCGACTGACATATCCATTATTTTGTGATATCGCGGCGTGACAACCGTTGCTTGTCCTGTCGATCATGGAGGGAACATGGTGATTGGCCTGGTCCTCACATGTTTTTTAAGCGATCTCGGAGGGAACGGAGCCTTGTCCAGGATATTCTCCGCATCGCCGACTCATGTGGAACGCCTTGTAAATAATGGGACAACTTGTAGAGGAGGTGCGACCGGCGTACGCCTTGGGAACGCGCTCTGATTCAGTCTACTACCCGCGATCCTTGTCCTCGCTCTCGCACATCCTTTTGTTCGCGTGATCGAAATTCCTCCCCCGCGTCTCTCAGCGCTCGTTGCAGCAGTGGTCTCGGTTTATTTTCCTTCCATCTTCCATTAATTTCCGAGCTCTTTCGAAACGAGTCCTCCATAAGAAGCGGTCGAACATTTCAGATCTGTTCATTGCGTGAATCAGCTGACCAACGGCCCAGGCACCGAGTGCGAGCTCGACATGAAGCCTTCAAGCGAAAAACCTTGTGAAGGAGCCGCCTGTACGACAGAAAGCGAAGCAGGTGAGTTTTTGCCAGAGAGGATGATGCGGCGGGTTGTACGGACTTTCGGTCCGGCCCGTGAGCTCCACGAGGAAGATCTGAGTTCTCACTTCGCGATGTACCTGTTCGCACCATTCCGGAGCGTCCAGGCTCCTAGGCTCCTCTCGGTCTCTCCCTCCGATCGATGCGGAATTAATGAAGCCATCGACAGGATCTCAATGCGCGTCTCTTTTGTTCTACAGCTGAGTTCCGGATCTGTGTCGACGAACTCACATACAAGGAATGCCAAAATTTCAAACATCTCTGCGACACGAAAGCGACTCCTTACTTCCGCCTCAAATGCTGCCATACCTGTTCACTATATCTCAACCGGACGTTCAATGAATAGCCCCTCTGACTCAGCGTCCCTCGATAACCTCGACCACCAACTAGAAGCCAAGTACGAAGGAAAAATATTCATCCGCGAAGCCGTATCTCAGATCTTTCATGAAGACGACCAGGACAAGGACGGTTCACGAAGAACCATAGTTTGTCACCTCAGAGAAATGATGATTCAGATTTCATGGAGAGCGACAACAATCGGCCGGCGATCGATCAATATGTTAAAATTTGTATAAAAACGAACAAGCGGACACAGCGAACACAGGAAAGCCGGTTCAATATCATAGTCGAGCATCGGGACTCGGCGTCAGGGCGCTCGTGAGGCCCGTCTCATTTATCTCATCAGCCCGGTGGGAACTAGGCTAGTTTTATACGCATACCGTGAGAACGACGACTCTAGCAGATTCGGGGAAGACGCTTATCCGAAGAGATCCGCGGCCGAGAAACGGCTCCGTTGTTGAGGAGCGTCATCAACGTGATGAGCTTCCCGCAACCCAATCGTCGATTACTTCTCTGTTTCCAAATACGAATAGACGGGAAACGGAACGACGCAGATGAAGCAGGGGCACTCTCTATGTCGAAGAAGAACGAAAGCTCGACGAAGTCGAAGAGAAGGCCTTGACAGCGTAGGGAGGATTCGGAAAAATGAACGGAATCTTTTCCGAGGAGTTTTGAAGCTACACACATATCTACGCACCCGCACCAGTTCCCACCGGGCGGTAATCGATCGCTTCATATCAACAACACCAACGAGAATCGTCAGATTCACAATACTCGGGATGAGACACGCTTTCAATCCCACAGTCCCAGTAAACATTGGGAACATACAGAGTCGAGTGGGAAGCAAACATGGACACTCACCCACACACATCGCTTAGAATTTCATGCGTCCGAAAAGGAGAGACACGTCACACTTGATAGAACACGAGAACTCCGACTCAACAGCCCGGGTCGAGATGATTGTAATAAGTAAATAAATAATAAATGTCTTTTATTGTTGACAGACGAGACCGCATACTAATTTAGGGCTCCTATTTGGTGGGTTTTGATTTGCCCTCACATATATTCGTCGATATTATTGTTCCGTCTCCAGGCCCGAAGGCTTCAGTTCGGGCGGTAATCCGGGGCGCTTGATGCCGGCAGTCAACCGGGAGCGACGTGGGCCGCTCAAACCGATCATTTACTCCGCGCTGACGATCTCCCGAGGAGTCAACCAGGAGCCATTGCAGAGGGTTCTTCATGTGTGCCGAGGGAAAACGGAAGCTCGCTCATGCAGAAACGTGCTTAGATCGTTGAGGAATGACGACGGAAAAATTGTACGTCAGTAGAAGCAGGCAAGCGTTACCGTGTGTCTCGAGGAGAATTCCGTCGAATGGTATTCCGCTCATAAGAGAGTCTCTATAACGATTCCCCGAGATGACAAGGTGGTCGGAGTAGCCTCCGACGCATAGCGGCTCAGTTCCGATCCTCGCCTGAGCGGGAGTCTGGGAGCGACTTCTAATCCGAAAGAAAGAAGCGCGTAGTCCCGGATGGGAAAATGATAGCTCAAATCCTCCTCCGCAGCAGACCTGGAAGGCCTTGCCGAAGATTCCCGACCTTATTCTCTTCGGCGAAACCTTGAATCAGGAGTGAATTTCAAACAGGACGGCTGCGCCTGGAAAGATGCGCTTTCGGTTCCGATCAAACGGATGAACGCCCACAGATGATTTCGTCAGCCTCCACAGAGCGCTCCGAGCCTAGGTTCCGATGCTTTTCGGGATTTTCGAGCAGCAAACTCTCTCGGACGATACTACCGCGCGACAAAGGGACAAGTATACGAGCGTGGGCGCTACACATGCTCGAGATAGATCTGAACATGGAGTCGAAACACACAGTTTCTCATTTAATGACGTAGTGGCACCGATGCAATGGTTTGCTGACCTAGTGTCAACTTCGGACGATAAGAGCTTGAGTAAACGGAGCGAAGTACGATCGGAAGGACCGAGGCCCAGGCGATCTCGAGAAGGCCTCGGGCTTCGGAATTCCGCGCCGAACAAAGAAGCCAGTCGGCTAGTCTCACGAAGTCATCGTCGCTCATGGACTGTCCTCAATGGAAGCGTCGGCGCCGAAGGACGTGGTGCGGGGTCCGAAGATTGAGGATCGCGACTGATTTGCAGAGGGCGAGGCAAACAAAGAGAAGAACTCGACGAGTTTGTCGATAGTTTGCCTCCGTGTTCGTCGTCATCCTTCTCGTCCAAGCCTTGGTCGTCGTCCCGGCTTTCGCCGACGTCGTCGTTCTCACTCGTCGCAACTTTCGTTTGCGGGGAAACTCGTTCGTCGTCTTACCGGGCGGGAGTGTCTTGGTTCCTTTTTCTTTTTTCAGCTCCTCGTCAGTCGTTCTTCGCGAGTCTCCGTGCCGGGCTATCCTTCCATTCGAGTAATTGTTTGACTACGTCCTCTTTACTCTTGCCGTTTTCGTCTTCGCGACTGGGACATCGATCACAGACTTGAGCTACTCCCGAACGGCGCGGCGTACCGATTGGACTCTTTTCGCACCGAGTACCTCTCAATATATCGATGAGAGCTCCCTCCATTGAAGCCACCGATGATTATTCCCGAGCGCCACGCAGCGAGTCAGAAGCAATCCCTCTTCCTCGATCCTCTGCCGATCTCCGTCCGCATTATCCATACGGCGAGGTGAAACAGTGTTCGTTCGTCTTCAGAGGGATCACTTTGATCTCAGCAACGATCCAGTCATCGTTCGTCGCTCGAAATCATGGTGTACGATCCGACGTGTATTGTGCGATGAGGAAGGTCCGCTCAGGCATGGATTTCTGTGTTGCATTCAATTCGATATTGAATCCCCCAGCGGAAGGTCTCCACTAGGGATGGTTGGACTCACCCACCGATGTGTCAATCTCTGACGCTGGATTAATTAATGCGGCTCTGATTCGAGGACGCATTAGTTTCAAAGATGGGTTGAGGGTCACAATTCTAAACAGAAGGACTCAAAGGTTTCTTCCTCCGGGTCTCGTCGACCTCTGAAATCTGGGCGGAATCTCCGCCCCGCCCGAATTCCCACCCTCTTCCCCGCGAGCGATATGATGTACCATGACTTGGTGCGAGGTCAACGGACGATATCATCCGCTTGACCAGAGTATCTTCTGACCGCTTCTCCCCGGGGGTTTTGCGGCCACGCGACGGAAACATCTGGAAGAGCTGAAGCTTCGACACGGGACAAGCTCTCAGCATCCACGGGCCACCGTCTCCATTTCCCATTTCTCTCCCCGAGCCTTCGCTATCTCGGTGTCCATCTAATCCTGTCGAGAAGTAGATGACAACAATGCCACTTTATTAATTAAGTTGCTGGGACCAACCTCACCGGGCTTGCTACGTAGTCTCTACGCTGCGCCGTCGGCTCGACCGACGGCGGTCTCGAGGCCAACGAGTCTCCTGAGCCCCACCGGCACTGGAATATTGCGTCGGAATACACCCAGTCCCACATTTCGATGATGCCCGCTCCTGTGTAGCGGGGTATGATTCCTCGATAAGCGCTCACGACTTCATCAGGAGCTCCCATATACCTACGTATGAGCGTGCGATCGGCATAAATCACTCCGCATGTTTCAGAAACATCTGAGGTCTCGCTCGGTCATCACGGCAATCGATGCAGTTTGTCGGGCACTCAGTGAACCGAACAGCGCCGCTGCCGCAATTGGCGATGAGAAAACCGTAGGGAGCCGTAGACAGAATCCTATCGGGAAACCGACGGATAATTTTGCCGGAAATCTTGTACGGGCTCCTGCGATTCATATTAACAGACCCCCGCGGATCGAATATTGTTGTACAGCTCCTAATATTACATCCGGCAGCGGAGGGACCGATCGCTGCTTCTGCTGCTTTCGTCGATGTTGCCAAGCCGAGCGCACAGCCTCGCAGACGAACGATTCCCGCGCGAACCCAGACGGACTCCGATGGATTAGCCTTGGCAGAAAACGGTGCGCCCTCGGGTGATTACGAATGCAGTAACGACGACGTGCTCAACGTGAACTCACTCACAAACAACAGCGGAAACAAAGGCAGCTCACTCGGGCGGATGTTCCGGGATCCATTTTCTCGCAAGCAGGCAAATGGCTGCGATGATAATAATCGACCTGGGAGAGGAAAACGGGCTGAGCTGGACTACATCAAAAGACACTATCCTGGAATGTGCATGCATGCTTGCACATGAAGCTGAAGTCCTTCCTGGACCATATTCTTTTTGATCACGGATTCTTCCGTCAACGGTCAGAGGGCCTGGTGGGACCGCAACTGCGCGGTCCTAGTAGGCTATCCGAAAAATGACCTCGTCATGCTTATTGCATCAAGCCGTCAGCTCTCCATTGTGTTACGTCCGTCTGCGGGTGTGTACAAGCTCTGCATACGACTCTCAACAATTCCCGAACTCTCTCCCCAGCTCTTCCCCGACCCTGGGCAGTGACGCGACTTGCCGAAGGCGACCCCTGGACCTATCGTGACGCCGGTCAGGCATCAGGCGGTCCACGGGACCTCGAGAACTCAGACCGTGATCCTCGATTCTGTTTCGAGGGGACCATCTCACCTACTCCCCAATGTTCTCTCGCGTCCCTTAGACCCACGAGGGAGGCAATCCGTGTCGAATCCAGTTGAGTTCGCGACTAGGAGCCGCAAGAAAACTAAACTGTCTGACGGAATTGATCATCGGATGATCTTTCGCTTCAACGATTTGGGTTCGCCCGGAGTTGCAGAAGTTACGCGACAGACAGCCTCATTGCCCCTCGCCCCAAGCGAGAATCCTTTGGGAATAATCTCTCCTCTTTGACGGATAGTTCTCATCAAAATAATAATAATTGGATCAGGCTCATCCCGCGGGGAACTCCGACTAGAGTTAGGGAAGACGGCAGTCCCGTTGGCAACGGGAGCGCTGTCGAAAACATAACACTCTCGAGAATATTGAGGGCTCTCCAGAATATTCCGACGGGAAATCAACTAGAATAACTCCTCAAAACG